ATTTTCCATTGAAATATCATGCTTGGTGTTATTATTGAGATTAATTGATGACCCATTATATTGATCACTTTGGGTAGAATCAAGTTTTCCTTCATCCTCCAGCTTAGATGCATTGACCGAGTTATCTGAGGAAATAGAAGTATTTGTCTCAGACATGCTTCCATTCACATCTGGACAAAAGCAAACATAATCGCCAATTATATATATATATATATATATATATATATATATATATATATATATATAAGATAGACTGAAAAATAGTGATATATTAACATATTATTCTAGGATCCATACAGTAATATTCTCAGACAAAGCCCATCCTAACTTCATAAGCTGAAGTTAGAAGTGAAGTGAAAAATCTCAATCCATTAAATTTATCACACAGAAAGAAGTCATTCAAGATATATACATGCTTATCAAATATGAAAATCAATGCATTTCACATATACATCACACACAAAAAAGAGTGAAGAAAGTTTATTATCAGAAGAGCAATTTAATTATCAGTGAAAAAAAAAGAATACCATACAATCCAACATTCTGGTCAAATGTAATAAAGATTTGACTTATTGGAATCAGAACATGAAAAATTAGAAAATCACAGTGGTGTTTTGATCACATACAAGACATTGAATTCATTGCAGAAGCCTCCTCAACCAGTAGATCATCATGAACATCAGGATGTGAACGATCCACTGGGTCTGGATGCAACCCCACATACCAGTTTTTACGAACTCTTCTACGAGGTACCTCTAATTTATCCATCATCATATAGCCAGAGACCCTATAAAACCATCAATTAACGTTGACATGCACAAATCCAACAAGCAAAAGTTGAAGAAACTTACCTGAAAAAATTTATCACTCCATTGTAGGTAGCTAGACCTATTTCTCTCGTGCCATCCTTGTCTATATCAAATAAGAGGGGGCTTGAATGAACAGTTGATTGGTGGAAAGCTGGCCATCCTGAAAAAATTTGCAACTTTGTCATCAATGACAACTGAGATTATACAAATTATTCATCCTATACCGATAAAAGCAAAAAGAAGAGCCATCTACAAGATATTAAAATTTTTGATCAAATATTGTTGTCGAGCATCGATGCGTATACTAGCATTAATGAAGTCTGGAATCTCTAGCAGATAACTCGAAGTTTCACGTATACACTTGGTGCTGCAGTCAGCCTTTGTTAAAGGAAATTTTCAAAGCTAAACAAAATGAAAAATATATATATAAATAAATACCTGGCAGTTTATCACCATCAGAACCTTCCAACACTTCCAGGTAATGAACAAATGATGGTACCACTATCTCTAGCTTGCCATCACTAGTTGCAAAATAAACAGCAACAAAATGTCAGTACAACTTTCCAAACAACTATAATCACATTTATTATATATGTCAGATATCAGCAATGAGACAAGATGAGCTTTGGTATTACAATAAGGTTTCTCTTTAGCAATCTATTCAAGTCACGGGAATAGTCTTCTGACTAGCATGGGTATCATTGCATACATTGACCTTCCCAAACCTTGCAGTGGCAGGAGCCTCATGAAAGAATCCACCCTCTTTTACCAGAATTAGAAAAATAAGAACAAAAAGGAGTCTCTACACTTAACACATCAAGAAGCAAGAAACAATATCCAACAGATACACATTTATGGTACGTTATATTAGTTTCAGAGTAGGTTGGAGACCAAATCACACATCAACCAAAACTTAAATCATTCCCAAACGTCTGGTTTGACAATAGAAGTGTAATTGCCGTTGCTGCTATTTGATAGGCTCCTTTTGGATACAGTTAGGATGCAAGGTCAAGTTTAAAGGAATCACATAAGTTATCTAGTGTTATTTTTATGCTTTGGCTTAGTTATGTTAAACCATATCTTCCTATCTTGGTCTAGAACTAAATATAATCTAATTATGCTAGATCAACCCCAAATCAAGCCAACCTTACTCTCCCATACCATTGCCAATACAACTTAAAAGTGCCAGTGGGCCTGACACAATCAAGCCAATCATATATTTACACTACAAAATATTCACATCACAACAAACAATTAAAGTCACTAAAGTGACTATAGTCCTAGTCACTTCCTTGGAACAAAATCAAGAAGTCAACATGCTTTTCAGAAACTTCAGCTCAAACTGTGAACTTGTCATATCTACCATTCAAATCCAGCCAAATGTGCTGCTTGCTGGTTCACATCATCTTTATTCACTGGACTCCTAAATTCATGCTCATGGAGGAAGGGTAAATCAAAGATTAGGTGATGATGGTGGATTTTGATCTTCTTGTGATCATCTAATAAAGTCATCTTCGCCAGCTAGGCTAGCTAGTATGGAAAAATAAACTAAGGCATCCAGTACAACCGTTGCCAATCAAATTTGATCTTATGTACTTCCAACATAGATGCATATAGCAGCCAAGTATAGAAAAACTAAATAAACCAACTTGATCTACATCAATATAGTTATTTCAACACCCAGTACATATAAAGATGGCTCAACAATGATTTCTACAGCAACTAGTCTACTGAAAAAAGGTATGGAAAATTTTTCACTAAAAAATAACAGTCACCAAGCAGATTCACTAATAATTTAAGATTAAATTAATTCAGTCGTATTATAAATCCTGCATATAAGACTACACAATTGGATGACCCTTACCTGTTGATATCAGTTATCAATGGAGTTGCATAAATGCTGGAGCTAACCTCAGTTTGCCATCTCAATTCTAGATGCTTTGGACACTTTGTATTCAACAAAGAATCTTCATCTCTATGAGAAAGAAACAAAAAGTGACTACCCATTAGTACATCTTGGACATATAGCTCTTGATTTGACCATGATTACAGCATAGATTTAGTCAAAGAAAATAATTATACAAGTGATTCTTTGGATAACATCAAAAACCCATGTGCTCAAAGCAGTAACTAAAATTACTTGAAAGACCCATCTTCTGCACATTGGAGAATGGCCAGACTATAGTAGGCTTATGAAACTAATAAATTGGATACAAAAAATGTAGTAAAAAATAGTTGTAAATTTTCACTATGGGATAGAATTTATCAAAGAAAAAAAAAACTATATGAGTGATTCTTTTGATACCATCGAGTACCACTGTTCTCAAAGCAGAAACTAAAAGTACTTTGAGAACCGATTTCCTGCATACTGAACACAGAAATGTCGTTAGCAAAAATACATAGCACAATAGAAAATAGTTGCAATTTTTGTTATCGAGTAGATTTCATCATAAAAATTTATATTAATAAATTCTATAGATAATTCTTTTAATAATGTCAAGTTTCGATGTGCTCAAAGTAGAAACTAAAATTACTGGGACAACCATTTCTTGCTTACTGGAGCGTAGCCAGAATAAATTGAGCACAGCAAATGAAGTTGGCAAAATACAGGGTACAATATTTTGAAGTATTAGCTAATTCTATACAATAATTAGTACTATGAAAATCTCTTCTCGGCTCAGAAAACTCTAGAAGTATAACGTAGCGTGCTTATCATCAAATGTTTATACTCGTAGCAAAGGTCTAATTTTGTGCAGCAATGGGTCAAAATGCCAGAGGATGTTGAGGTTACTTATGTGCTACGCATGCTTTGCCTTCGAGTGGCCTTGGCACGGAAGATGGTATTGGAAGTTATGTCAAAATCATAGAAGCCACTAATAAATCACCAGCAGTTTCAGACTGCTAAACTTTATATCGCAGCCCTGCTAAACAAGAGATTGGTAATTGGCTGTCAGATAGATATGAAAGCATCATGATTCCTAATCATCAACTCGTCTAAAGAAAGAGAAACTAATTTTAGAAGGTGCACCAAGGACAAGGTAAAACTGAATCATTCCTAGACTAAGAGAGCAATAACTGTTGGCACTTCACTCTAACATGCCACACAATACAAGCGGTAGTAGCAATTGAAATCATACTCAACCTACATGGACGGCTACATATACGTGACGAGTGTGATGAAACCAGTTTTTGCTAAAAGTAAGAAGCAAACTATTAACAAATTCCACATAGAAATATCAAGCTATGGCTTCGTACAAGAGGATCAAGAGCAACCAATTCTACAAAATCATAATAATGATTTACAGGAAATTTTTTATAAAGGAAAAGGAGGAACGAGTGACATAAACGATAAGATGGAGCTTACAAATGGGGATAACCGAGCATATCATCACTTGCTTCGCGGTCGCGGAATTTGTTGGTATGGTTCGAGGGGGATGCGCCATCACCCGCGATAGACCTCGGTGCAGCGATTAGGAGGACGAGGATGAGAACCCCCGCGGGGAGCCTCATCGGATCCACGAATTCTCCGACCTTCTGCCCGGAGTGGAGAGCGAAACCCTAACCGGAGAGAGGAAGAGAAAAGACGAGTTCTACTATGGATCAGGTGATGCTTGGAAAGAGATCGGAAGCAGGATCGGCTCGTCTCCCACCCTCAGACGACGACGAAGGCGAGACCTAACCGGCGATAGCAGCAGAAGGAGAACAACGGCCCGATGCGCCGTCGAAGGATCGTCCCACGCACAAAATCCGAGCCCTCGTCTCGGCTTGGGTCCAATTCGGTCTATGAAGAAGGATTTTGGGTTGCGTTGTTGGGTCGGCTCGGGTCCAATTCGGTCCAATGTGTATATACTTCGCGTTGCGATCGGCATCGGACAAGACATATTGTTGGCTATGTCGTGGAAAACTAAGAAAATGAGAAATTAGGAAATTCAAGCTGAAATCATGCAAAAACTACATAGTATTCATATGCCTTATAAGGTTTCATTGATACTTAAATCAATATGGTATTCATATGACTCATTAATAATGATCGAAATTGAAGAGTAAAATCCAATTTATTTATTTTGGAGTATCCTCGGGATTATTTTATGGTCCGATGAGCTGATTGTTATGATGACTTCAATTTTATTTATTTTAGATTTTGCATTTTTATTTGATGACTCCTATTTTACAAGGGCAAAGTTGTCCTCTGGTGTCAAAAACCCTTCTCTCGAGTCTCGAGTTTATCTCCACAGTAGCCAGGCTGCCGTGCGAAAGGATAGAGGCCGACGAGCCTGGAAGACAAGGAAGGGGGAGTCCATCCGCCATGGCCGCCTCGTTTCACTTGTTAAGCAGCAACACATTCACCATCCCGTCATCGGTAGCGCGTCGGGGATTCGATGCGGATCGCAAACTCTTCCACAAGTTTCCAAATAGGGATCCCTTTTCCCTCCCCATTCTCTCCCCAGCCGGCGTTCCTAAACCGCTTCATAGGGAGACGACAACCTGGAGGGCCTCCCTCGTTGACGACGCTGGAAATGGAGCCATGGAAGCCCCCAAACCCACTCGCAGAGGCCGGAAGAAGAAATCCGCCGATTCCTCTCCTGCCACTCCCGTCAAGAGGACAAGGCGCCGGTCCCAGAAAAAAACCCCGGAAGATGAAGCAGCGGCAGAAGGGCCCCGGATGCCGGAAGAAGCGAAGGCGCCAACGGTAGCAGCGCCAGTAGAAGAAGAGGAGGAAGAGGACTTTGACGATGGGATGGACTTCCCCTACGAGTCCCCACCCCTGGTGTGCTGCTTCGGCGCGGCGCGGAGGGAGTTCGTGCCGACCGTCCGCGTCTCCGAGCGCCAGATGCACCCGGACCAGTACTCCTCCTGGAAGCAGCTCCAGTGGAGCCCGCCTGAGTTCGTCAGGGCCCCCGGCGGCCCCCCCTCCAACGTCGCCATCTCCCACGCCCGCCTCGGCGGCCGTGCCGCCTTCATGGGGAAGGTCGGCGACGACGACTTCGGCAACGACCTGGTCTACCGCATGAACTTGGAGAAGGTTCAGACTCGGGCCGTCAAGATCGATCCGGCGGTCAGAACTGCAGCCTCCCACATGAAGATAGAACTCGAGGACAGGGATGACGGCAGTGGGAAGAGACTGGTCGCCAAGACCGTCAAACATTGCGCTGAGGATTCCTTCTTGAAGTCTGAGATTGATGTTGCGGTCCTGAAGGAGGTTTGTCTTAACGTATTCTTTCTGTTACAGTTTTAAGAATCTTCTTATATCTTTGAGCATATTGTTCCATATTGTTATACTAATGTGGAATTTGTTCTAAATACGCAGGCTAGGATCTTTCATTTCAACTCAGAAGTCCTCCTGTCTCCAGCAATGCAGCCGGCACTATTTTGGGCCATCAAATTATCCAAGAAGTACAACAGCAATGTGTTCTTCGATCTGAATCTACCCTTGTCTCTATGGAGATCACGAGATGAGACTCGAGAAGTGATCAATAAAGCATGGAGCAATTCTGACCTTATTGAGGTTTCCAGACAGGAGATGGAATTCCTTCTGGATGAAGAGTACTATGAGAGAAAGCGGAACTACCGGCCCCAGTACTACTCTGAATCTTATGAACAAACCAAAAACCGAAGGGACTATCACCATTATACTCGCAAAGAAATAGCACCTCTGTGGCATGATGGGCTAAAGATCTTATTCGTAACGGATGGGACACTTCGGATCCATTATTACACCCCCAAGTTTGATGGGGCAGTCGTTGGCACAGAGGATGTCCTCATTACTCCGTTCACATGCGATCGGACTGGCTCCGGTGATGCTGTAGTGGCCGCGATCATGAGGAAGCTAACAATACATCCAGAGATGTATGAGGATCAGGACATGTTAGAAAGGCATCTCCGGTTTGCTGTTGCTGCAGGAATCATTTCACAATGGACAATTGGTGCTGTGAGAGGGTTTCCAACTGAGAGTGCAACTCAAAATTTGAAAGAGCAAGTCTATGTTCCATCGATGTGGTAAACCTTAGATTCTGTATGTGACAGCAAAATTAGAGTGTATGATTGCCTGTGAAGTTGTGGGACGGCAGCTGTGGCAAATAGGTGCTAGAATATTCCTGGAAGGAATATTGTATCAGCCAATAAATCATAAGTGAGAGGATCAGGGGTCTTGCTTGTGCTTCTCTTGCGGAATCTGTCCTTTCCACAACATAATCTCAGATCGAGAAGACATGTTATGGTTGGATAATCATACGATTCAAAAGTATTGACTATTTGCCTGAAGAAGAATCAAAGAATTGGTAATATTTGATGAACTTTACCACAAATTTTGTAGACTTATCCTCCATGTTGTTTAAATATCCTCAATGCAAGTTTCATTGGTTCTCAATGCAAGTTTACCTGAAAATGTTATTATCTTTCATCTTATTTAAATCTTTTATTGGCGTCTTTTGTTGCTTTAATATTTCATGATTCCATTAATGTTTTCCTTTCAAGCAAATCTGTTGGATTGGCTTATAGAGTTAGCTAGACAATATGTTAGTCAAAATTTCCTGTCAAGCAAATCATATTACATATAATGTCAATTGTGACTGCTTGCCCTGACTTTGTTTTAGTAGAAGAATCATGATCATACAAGAAAACTAAAGCCCGGAAGACACGTTTGCAAATTTACCATCTACAAAACCGTCTGAAAGCTAAATCAACTGCCATTTTCATCATTCTGAAGTTGAATTTATTTCCTTCTATATAAAGATTATTGAATCAGTGGAGAATGTTGTGATGGTTGAAAATTTCTTCTGCTTCGCATCTAACAAGGAGCCGAGGCATGCTCAAACACTGGAAACATTCCAGTACACACTCCCATTCCATGCATATAATCTTGTTGCTGCTTGTCTTTTGATTTTTCCAATCTTGTTGCCATTACCTTTCCGTATCTTTTATATTTTGTTCTGTACATATAGTATGTCTACATGTTCATGTTTCTTCCTTGTAAATGATGCAGAATACAAACAAAGAAAGACAACTGCAAAATGGATCAAAGGAAAATGTCAGATGATCCTATCTATCAAGGGTTGATATACATGGTGGTTGTCCCTGCCAAATTAACTTCTCTTGAGCAGAAATTTTGATCAGCCAAATTTTCAACAAATGATTTTTTTCTAGGTTAATAGGTATTTATGAATAGATACTCGGATCATTCTTCAAATCTCAAATCTCCTTTATGTTTATCCCTGTGCTCCAAGTTCTCTATCTCATAATTGAAAATGCACCAAAATTTCTCTCTTAAATCATTTGAACCACACAGGTGTTTAGATACTTTTATCTTGGGGATTCTAACTCATGCAATTACAAGCTTCCATGAATTGCAATATCAAATTGGTCTTTTATCTTTTTAATTGTTTAAATGATTATCAAATTGGTCCATTTTGAATGAATTTATTACTATTTTATTTCACACTTTGGTCTCAATATACCAAACAAAGATTGTTCAGTCTGAATGCATTTAATTTAAGTAGAATAATGGAATCAGAAAACCATGTCGGCATTGGATCGGTTAAAGAGAGTTGCAAGTTTTAGGAGTTCAATTGGCTTGGCTGTTGGGTATATTTTTCATGATTGGATTCACCTTATAAATCTTGTACTGTTAATTAAATGGAGTTGCTAATGGTGTCGACATTTCATGGACGTGCATACTGTATATTAAATCCAATAATTACATGATTTAACCTCTTTTATATGACTCTAATGTAACACATGGCTTCATCTAACCGAAACCAACTTGTTCGTGACCCAAATCGTCGTAAATCGAATCCGTCATTCTAGTGTCTTCTTCCCCGCTGAGTGCTGCCGCCGTCTCTCCTCTCTTGTGCTTCTGCGCGCAGGAGCAGACTGCGAGGGAGAGAGACCTGGTCGAATCTCTGGGCGGAGCTCGTCTTGCACGAGAAGACGACTCATCTTCTCGAAGAAAACTCGAAGTTTTTTACTGCTGCGACGCTACTTTTTCCGACTAGCCTCAGCTTGGACCCCCCAGTGCTGTTAAGAGAGCACATATCTCACATGTTTATGCGCGGATGGCGGTGCCGGCGCCGACCCTTCCACGTGTTGGTTCCCGTTGCAGCGTCGCCTGCGAATCCAACGTCTCCGTCCAAGCATCTCAATCACCTCCTCCGCTCCTGCAGAGACGTCCGATCCCTCCTCCAACTCCACTCCCGCATCCTGGTCCTCGGGTCCCTCGCGGACGACGCCACCTGCATCCTGCTTCTCAACTCCTACTCCTCCTTCCGCCGATCGGACGCCGCCCTCGCCGTCTTCAACACCTCTCCCAATCCGTCCATGGCCTTGTGGAACTCCATGATCCGGTGCTACACCAGGACCGGCGAGCACAAGAAAGCAGTCGAATTTTACTACCGCCTGCTGCGGCGAGGGCTTGAGCCCGACAAGTACACCTTCACCTTTGCATCCAAGGCCAGCGCCGGCGCTTTTGACTTGGAAACTGGTGATATGATACGGCAGGAGGTTGCAAGGAGAGGGCTCTCAGGTGACGTCTTCATTGCCACCGGCCTTGTTGACATGTATTGTAAATTGGGTATGGTCACGACTGCCCACGAGCTGTTCGAGTCAATGGCGGAGACGGATGCGGTTTCATGGAATGCCATGATCGCGGGTTTCTCCCAGAATGGCCATCCTCGAGAAGCTTTGGCTCTTTTTAAGAGGATGCAGGTGGCCGGTGAAGTCCCCAATTCGGTCACATTTCTAAACTTGTTTCCGGCAGTGTGTGAACTCTCTGCTCTTATTTTGTGCAGGGTTATTCATGGTTTCCTCACTAGAAGATGCCTTCTGTCTGTCGTATCTAATGGGTTGATTGATACCTACTGCAAATGTGGGAGCACTGGCATTGCTCGTAAGATTTTTGACGGAATGTCAAGCGGGAAAGATGATGTAACTTGGGGAACGATGATATGTGGCTATGTATTTAATGGTTATTATGCAGATGCTCTGGTGCTTTTTGATGACTTGAAAAGTGAAGATATAAAGTTGAATCAGGTAGCGGTGGTGAGTGCCCTCTCTGCTGCATCTGAGACAGGAGATCTAGAGAAGGGAGTGAGCATCCATAATTATGCAACTGAGAAAGGAGTGGATTCAGATATTTCAGTCAAAACAATGCTCGTCACAATGTATGCAAAGTGTGGAGACTTGGAGAAGGCAAAGTCACTGTTTGATGGGATAAAAGAGAGAGATGTTGTTGCTTGGTCAGCAATGATTTCGGCCTTTGTCCAGGCCAATCACCCTACAGATGCATTAGTTCTTTACCAGGAAATGCAAATGGCAGGTCTAATGCCAAATCAAGTTACCATTGTGAGTCTACTTCCAGCTTGTGCAGACTTGTCAGAATTGAAGTTAGGAAAGAGCATCCATTGTCTTGCCCTGAAGTCAAACATTCACCTGGATGTTTCGGTGGGGACTGCTCTGGTGGCAATGTATGCTCAGTGTGGATCCTTCACTTCTGCACATTCTTTGTTTGACAACATGGAATACAAAGATATTGTGACCTGGAATGCATTGATCAATGGATATGCACAAGTTGGCGAGGCAGGAAAAGCTTTGGAGTTTTTTAATCGACTGCGATCGGCGGGACACTGCCCAGATCCTGGTACCATGGTAGGTGCCCTTCCATCCTGTGCTCTGTTGAATGCTCTTGAGATCGGTGCTTGTCTTCATGGCCTGGTTATCAAAAACAGTTTTAATTCAGATCTTCATGTGAAAAATGCAACCATTGATATGTATGCCAAGTGTGGGGACCTTCCATCTGCTGAGTTTTTGTTCTTAGAGACCAAGTCTCATGAGGATGTGATATCATGGAATACCATGTTTGCAGGATACATGAACAATGGTCGTGCTAACGAAGCTATATCTGCCTTTCGCCTGATGAGAGCTGAGAATATGAAGCCTAATTTAATTTCGCTAATCAGCATATTACCAGCAGCAGCATTCCTAGCTGCATTAAGAGAAGGCTCTGCTCTTCATTCCTACATAATCAAGATCGGCTTGGTGTCTCAAGTGCTTGTTGGGAACTGTCTAATTGACATGTACACAAAATGTGGAAGGCTTGATAATGCCAGAGACTTCTTCAACCAAATGGATCAAAAAGATACAGTATCGTGGAACGTAATGCTTGCTGGATATGCCATTCATGGACATGGTGAAAGCGCCATCTCTTTGTTTCTGCAGATGAAGGATAATTACGTCAAGCCAGATTCTGTGTCCTTTCTTGGTGTACTGTCTGCTTGCAGACATTCAGGCTTAGTTGCAGAAGGAAAAAAGTTCTTTGAATCTATGATGACAGAACACCATTTGGAACCAAACGTAGAGCACTATGCGTGCATGGTAGATTTGCTAGGTCGTGCTGGTCAATTAGGTGAAGCTTGGTCCTTGATTCAAAGAATGCCAATGACTCCTGATGCTGGTGTATGGGGAGCGCTGTTGGGTGCTTGTAGAATGCATTCTGATGTAGCAATGGGGGAAATTGCACTGGATCATTTAGTCAAACTGGAGCCTCAGAATGTTGCTCATCATGTGGTTCTCTCAAATATATATGCACAGGTTGGAAGATGGACCGATGTTAGAAGGATGAGATCGGCAATTAATCACATAGGTGTGAATAAAACTCCTGGTTGCAGTTGGGTCGATATTAGGAACACTATCCATGCATTTAGTGTTGGTGATCAATCTCACCCACAATATGACAAGATGCGTGATATTTGGAACGATTTGCGTGAGAAAATGGAGAAGATGGGTTATGTTCCTGACACAAGTTCAGTGATGCATAATGTTGAAGAAGAGGAGAAAGAATCCTTCCTCTCTAGTCACAGTGAAAGGTTAGCCATATGCTTTGCTCTTTTAAGCACAGAACCCGGTATGACTATCCAGATTGTAAAGAACCTCCGTGTTTGTGGAGACTGCCACACCGTGTTTAAATTTGTGTCAGAGATAGCTAACCGTGAGATAATTGTCAGAGACTCCAGTCGTTTCCATCATTTCTGTAATGGCATATGCTCATGCAAAGACTACTGGTGATTTCAACTCGAAAACATAACCTGCTCTATGTAGATGTCAGGAGATACCGATCAAATCAATCTCAAAAAGACTGCAGCTTTGATCAACAAGAGTTGAGAAGTTGGCTGATATTTTAGGAACACAGCTAGATGCGACATTCTGCTTTCTGTTGCATCCTTCTCACACCTCGGCCCAAAACATTACGAATTTTGCCATTATAAAGGAGTACTCGAAGGTGGGATGGATGTTGGATATAAAGTCTTTATAATTGCTCGCAACGGATGGGTATCAAGTCCTACAATATCAAACTCCAGGATACATATCTCAGTCCCAGGTACCATCAACAGTGTTGTTCTTCCATAGATAGATATTCTTGTCAAGTGTTGTTCTGCCCTTGACATTAAAAATTGATCTTGCCTTTGAAAAAGATCATCTGAATGTGTTTTAAGCAGAAACAGTGAAGCTGCAGCTAGCAACCTAAAAGGCCATCCACCCTGGTTATCACTGAAGAGACATGCTTCTCAAAGCTGCAGTTTACATTGTGCATCAGGGAAACATGGCAAACAAAAGAGACGTATCTTCAATTCAACAGTCGGTATTTGAGAGCCTATTCAACAGGGTTGCCAGAAAACCTATAAAATGAAGAGGGGGGTTGAAAGCTTTTGAAGAGCTAATAATGTTGTCGGGCGAACTAATGCACGGTTTTACTCTCGCAGCACTGCTAGTTAGGATTTATCTGCTATCAATTTCTTTCTAATGTTTCCCATTTTAATTTAATTTTGTTCTTGTTATAAGTCTGCGGTCATTCTGTCCATGGAATTAGTTTGTTTACTCAGCTAAAGCTCATGACAGAGCTTATAACAGCAAAATAATTTTCATCACTATAGTCTTTTAATGGCAATTTGAGAGAAGCAATGATTTGTGGTTCGAAGCTTGTACTTAAATCTTTTGTTCAGTACCTGAGTGTTCTTCATTGCAGTTTGGTATTGAAGAGTGGAAATTCTAATGAAGTAAATATATGATGGAATATAACATCTACTGTTAATTTAGGATATGAAGTCAGTTTATTATGTTCATAATCATTTTATGGGCGACAATTAATATGAGATGGAATATCATAACTAAATATGTGAGGTGAGGAGTCTTAATAAATTTACTAATGGTAATTTGTTTAATCATTTCCATTAAATGGTCGTTAATCCGAATTATTAGGAAAAATTAGTTCCGTGGCGTCGGATTATGTCAATCTTCACTATATTACAACCTGTGAACGCTCGTATTCCACGGACGCCGCTGAACGGTGTACGCCGCACGCTGCCGCAGCCCCGCGAATGCAGGGAGAAAGAAAAAGCCTACGATTATGGCCAAGTCATTCCCCCGAAGAGCTCTCTCTCTCTCTCTCTCTCCTCTTTATATAATGAGGCGACCTCCTCCTTGGCCATGCACCCTACCAATCGATCCTGGTCTCTTCAAACACCAGCGCGTCCTACCTCGTCTGACCAATGGCTTTCCCGGCATCTTCGTCCGCGACGGCCTTGGTCCTCCTCCTATCTCAGTTCCTCCTCCTCCTCCCGTCCGCCACAGGTTAGTGCGTTTGCTGAAATGCGCCTCTTTTTACTTGTTATCTTCTCCCTCGTGTCAACCTGACGCCTCGGTGTGTCTCAGCGGGGGTGATCTGCGAGGACCTGCCGCAAGACCTGTGCGCGTTCGCTGTGTCGTCCGCGTCGAAACGGTGCCTGCTGGAGAACACGCAGCTCGGCGGGGGCCGCACCGATTACCAGTGCAGGACGTCGGAGGCGGTGGCGGAGGGAATATCGGATTGGATAGAGACGGACGAGTGCGTGCGGGCGTGCGGCGTCGCCCGCGGCAACGTCGGCATCTCCTCCGATTCCCTCCTGGAGCCTGACTTCGTGCAGAAGATCTGCTCCGCCGAGTGCTACAGCAACTGCCCCAACATCGTCGACCTCTACTTCAATCTCGCTTCCGGAGAAGGTATGACTGAACCCATGCCATGGCTCAGAATCTTACGTTAATTAACCTCGAAGGAAACGTTAGAAGGAAAGCAGGAAGTCTGACACAGTTCATCAGCTCAGGCCCAGTGGGCCGAAGGATCTTAAAAAGAAGTAATTATATATTCGGTAAAAGGCAAGATTAGTCTAATTTAATCTTTTGTTCTCGGATGCTACTTAGGCGCATTAGATCCACATAGGATCGATAGATCACCATCATCAAGCTAATTGATTGATTAGATTAGTAGAGATATGTTGATTGATAAATTCGGCTTATACATCAATCAAAAGCTTGGCTAATAAATCAGAGAGATAAGCAGAAGGAATACAAGTAAGAAGAAGCCTGTGCGGTTCTGATACCGTGGTTATCTGGCAATGTTACAGGTGTTTTCCTGCCGGATCTGTGCGAGGCTCAGCGAGGGGACCCCCGCCGCGCCATGGCGGAGTTTCTCAGCTCTGGAGCAGCACCGGGGCCGGGGGCTCCTCCTCCTGTTTCCACCTGAGAACGAGGGGGTGGCATCTGTCCCTCGTCCCTCTTCTTCCTTGTTGCAGATAACGATGCGGTGCATGCGGGGAGCCTGCAACTACTTGTCTTTTCGTCCATATAATAAAACATCATACCATCTCTTCTGTTTTAGGATCAATGATACCTCAATCAAAATCTTTATCGTTATATATTCTTATTATTTTGCGAATTCAGAGAGGGGAAGGCCACAAAAAGATCAGAATTGAGGAAATTAAGGGCTGGAAAGTGTAACTATTTCCATGTGACAATTTTGATCAGAAAGGTTGAATTCCTAATATGGAGGAAAGTTTTTTTTTTGTTAAGTAAAATGGGCAAATGAACACAACAATCATCATTCAAATCGATGAGAAGTATTCACTATGCTTTCTGCTTCACATGGAAGCATCACTTGGAGCTACATAACAAGCATCAGAACAAAAGAAACCCTAGAAGTAATAACCCTAAAGCAACAACTTCATAGCTAGCTACCATTTCCAAGATAACTTTTCCTTTTATGGGGTACATGTTCCTTCCAGCTTTCCTGTGAACACAAAACTTCCTCAATTCCTAAAGCGACAAGGAGGATATAAAGCACAGGGTACACAGCCCATCAAGAGTGAGAACACCATATATGGACGGAGATAATTCTTTTTTACTGCTTAATAAGCAATTGTTGAAGGAAATAATACATATTGTTGAAGGAAATAATACATATGAACATTTTATGATGTAAGAGCAAAATGGTTGTGTGCCCAGGCACAATTTCAATTACTTGTATAGTCATCAATATGATGTGCCGACTTCGAAGTAGGCCTTTGATTTGAAGAGACTTAGAGGCACCATCCATTTTGGAATCCCCTCTGTGGAATATGCAGCCGAAACAGTGATGTCCGATATCATCTATTTACCATTAGCTGCAGATTCAGAACGGATGTGGATGGATTCTTCTCCATGATTGCCATTAGTTTGCATTCTCTGCCTCTGGTTGGAAACAAATCACAAATGTCCAGTCATAAGAGATGGGGAATGAATCAGATGGTAATTATGTAAAAGAAAAGACACTACTATGTTCTGTAGATGAAATAGCTTATGTTCTAAAACTCTGATCGGTTGATGTTTGCATAATGTGATCTATACCCTTCAGTCATCTTAGGGAAAGAAGAAAAGGAAGAGCCATTGGCAAATAACAATTTCCCAGTAATATAAAACACAATAAACTTATTGAATCTGCCGTGTGCAGACAACACTAGATGTTGTTAATCAATGTATAATGTTTAGTTCCATAAACTATTTCGATGTCAGCAGACACCATGCAGAGAACACTTACAGAAGGTAATACTGGATCCATATGTCTAGTTTTGATTGTCATGCAAACAAAAGTAAGGTTCTTCGGCTTCATATGGATACAAGTGATTGGTATTTGATATCCATTTATGGAAACAAATCGAGTAGATCTAAGTTATGTTTGAAAGCAACCTGATCCTCAAGCTTGGTTGATAATGCCACAGCGAGATGTATGTACATCACCAGTCGACCACATAACATACTAAGACTAACTAACAATGGTCAGTTAGAAAAGCAACATATCAGTTAAAGTGTTATACCCAATCAGCAGTATCCACTGAATTTCCATTCAATAACTTGAGGTTCTCTTCTCTAGAGTTTCCTTCTTTCTCTTTAACACTCAGCAGTAGCAATGGTTGTGATCCACTAGAACGATCGGGCATTTCTGTCAACCAATATGAAAATTTTCATTTATCAAATCTACAACAAAAGCAAAATAAATAGTGATAATGAAAAACACAGGCTACCAGATACACACCTGGTAGTTTCTTGTCAATGAAGAATACCACTAAATTCACTGTATACCTACAAGCATTAAAATCAATGTATAGTCCAGTAGCCACCAAAAAAAAAGTGAAAAAAATAAAATAAAATACGAGAATACAAATTCAACCCACCATGCAACGACTATGTCTACTGTGTAATGCTTCCGGGAAGCTACTATAAGCAGACTCTGAATGATAGCAGTAACCCAAGCAAGAAGCTTAATGAATCTGCAGTTAAGTTATTGAAATTAGGTTAACTTTGATAAAATAACAAGCAATCATAGTTGCATAGTTGTGGACTCCCAGAACATCAAATTCACAAGCATAATTGAATATCAAAGATGTACCTTTTAGAACCATATTTATGGTATGTAAGCACAAACACCAGTGTAAATATCATGTGGGATGAAAAAATAAGATCACCACAGCCATATATGACTCCACGAGGAACTGCAAGCAAGAAGATCAAAATAGATACCTCAATGGAATTAAATGGAATTTATGTCATTTAACTACCACGAGATAATATCAGATAAAGGATCATACAGTTAATTAGAAGCACTTCAGTTACACTCTCTGGTGGGGGCAGTTTGGCAAGCTTTGATCCCTAAATGACATGAAAAACAAAAGATTACAGTAAAACTATAGATAGCAATTATTTTAGCAGCAAAATAGTATTAAGAATTGGCAAGACATTCATGCAGATAATACCTCACGACAATGATAGTTAGGACCAGGAAGCTGGGTAGAGTAGAACGTAATGATCCGCAACACTTGACAAGCCTGAGGGCGACGAGAATACAGAACAACCATAGGAAAGGCAACAAACATAGAAACACAATCTTACAATTCCGAAGGTGTTGGACAACAGAATGACCAAGGAGAAAGGAAATAATAGATGAAAAACTTACAACTAGAAATGCCAAAACTCTCCGCCAAAGCAGAACAGTGTAGAAGCGCTTGCTATGATAAACAAAAGGATAAAATGTCCACTGCAACAGTAACAACATTCCATAAACATCTATCTCGCACTCAACAAAGATATGGTGCCTATTGTGGCAGTAAAGGTAAGAAATATAATGTAAGACTAAGAGCTTCATGGCAGACATGGCTATACTCTATGTCATGGCACATGATGGCATGTGTGTATCCATAAAGATATGCACACACATACACAAGAGAGAAAAGAGATGGCTGCATCATGGTACTGAGTGAAACCGTGATGCCTTCAAAGAAGATATCCTGCTTATATAATAAATATAATCTGAAACACCAGAGGTAACAATGCAAAAACTTTGAATAAAGGGAATATGCAGCAACATAAATAGAAAAGGGCTATCAAATATAGTATGAACTTGAATTGTCTGCATGATGATAATTTTATTTTGATAAAGCTCCAACATGTTTCATATTGGAGTTATGCTGATATTGGCATTGCTTCAATAAGCAAACGTACCTTGTAATTTTAGACCTTTTCCTTAATTCTAACAGAATTATATGCGCAGAAACTTATAAGAGAACACATTAGACAAGGACAATGCATACCAGTACAAAGGACAAAAAGACGAAGGTGAATAGACTTTCACTGATATAGCCTCTTTCTTTTCCAAGTTCCTGAAATTGCAAAAGCATTGGTATAACTGGCATGTCACTTTAAAACAGCACTGACATTATTTTTTTGTTGAATTGTAATCAATTGAATGTGGCACCGCTACACACCGGAAGGATCATAAACCCAAGATCTTGAAGAGTTGGTCCAGGTTGATGTAGATAATGAACTCCTCGAGCAGAGAGCCCATGAATATACTAACAAAAGAAGAAAAAAAAATTATTAGTTCCCTGATCTAATCCATAAATTTTAACTTGTATAGCTATTCATACACTAACCATGAATGATGAACATAATTGGAACAAATAATTTCAGTAGCTAATCACATTGTCCCACAATTGTTTCCAATAACAGAGATAAAAAGAGGCATATGATTATAACGGCATAAAAAACATCAGGTAAACAATCTAAGAGATCAATGCCAAGGTTGCCCTATTTTGTCACTAAGACCACCAAAAGAGAACTCTAAGAACAAGATCGTAGATACAAAAAGAAAAGAAAGTAGATTATCTAGAAGAATCAATAAGGCAAAAGTTTATTGAAGGAAAGCACCCCCAGACTTCTTTCAGGACAAGGTAACACAAGGTTCTCAAACCAACCGCATTTAAACACTAAAAAAACAAAAAGTGCAGCAAATTACTTTCTGACCGTGAAAAGCAGCATCTGTTCTAGCACTCAACTTGCCACATCGAGCAATCAGGAAAGTTCTTAGTAGCAGACGTAATGACTTTTTGGTGTACCAAGACATGACCTGGATTCCCTAGTCAGTACCCATAACAAAAAAACCCCTAATTTAGGGATTCCCTCGAAGAGAATGTCCGATCCAAAACAAAATAAAGAACTTCGCTAAAATTTGAGTTCCCAAAGATTTCCATCCGAAGAGTTAGTTTTACAGCAATCAATTTGATGCACCCAAGAAAAAGAATCGAATGATTACCTGGAATACGAGTCCGGCGAGCAGAAGCTTCCACTTCTCCACGAGAAGTTGAAGCTCCACGGATGTCTCCACGCAAACCTTCCTCCATAGCTGCAGAAGGAGAAAAGGTTTCAGAAATGTTGCGAAGAAGGAAAAGAAAAGCAAAACAGATGGATTATGTGAAGGAAGGACCTTGGAAGCCTCGCGAGTAATGTAGAGCGTCATGACGGGCAACCGACGATCCAACAACTTGTTCTCCACATAACCCGATCAACGCGACGCGGATCAGATTTGTCCCGATCTCGGAGGCGAATTCGATCCAAGACCAGAAAGGAACCCCAGCAAAGAAGGAAGCAGAGATCGCCCTTCACAAGCGCGCATGTACAAATGGAGAGAGAAGACTTTGTTGTCGGGAACAAAGAATAATAAGCTTGAGATTGCTAACGTCAGTGAGTAAGACAGTTGGGTTTCGTGGGCTCCGCCTTCTCGCCTCCCCTTCTTGTTGGAGAAGGCGATCCTCCGCGGCTGTCTCGTCACTCGGCGGCCGCCACCACCGCCGATCGAGAGGACCGGCAAGAGAAAGGGAAGAAGAGCGAGACCCGGAAACGCACCTGAGAGGAGAAAAATGGAACGCTCCAAACTATGAAGAACTGTATAATAATTAATAGGAAGAGGAGGGGGGCAGAAAAAGATGCAGACCTCCTTCCCCTTCCCACCTTTTTACCTATTCTTCAAATCAAAAGATTAGGGTGGATTTTTTTTCCTTCAAATGAAGATTAATTATTCAAGTAGATTTTTTAGATATCCATTAGTCCAATTGATAAATATTTTTATTATATCTTAACACTTTCTATTTATTAAAAATTATTTTTTTTAATAATAATATTTTAGTATTTCATGATAAAGTTAACGACGAGTGTTTTTTGGATAGAAAATAACTGTGAGATAAATGTTCGAAAAAGACTTAAATTTTAATTTTTTTTAAATAGATTTTCAACTTTAAAAAATTTTATAAATATTTCTTTTAAATGACTATCCTATCTTCGTCGATCACAATCCTCTACCCAACCCCTAATCATGTCATCAACCTTCTCGATCAAACCCATCTAATGATGAACGCATAATGGCTCCTTCTACACCTTACTCGACTACTGATAAAGCGAACATCATTGCCCTTACATAGGTAAGGGTGTTGCATAGCACATTCACAATAAGTAATAGCCCATATCACCCTCACGTGAGCAAGAGAGTAAGCGACTGCATCATGTGAGTAAGGGCATAGATGCCACTATGCAACACTTTGGCGACCAATGATGACGGTGAAGGGTTGAGGGTCCAACGACAATCATAACCCCACCCTCCTCTCGTCAATGACTATGGGTGAGAAGGAAGGGTGTAGCTTACTCTCAGGATCAATGACAACAATAAAGGTTGGAAGGAGGGTGAGACGAGGATATATCTAGAATTAGTATAACTGGAGGAGCAAATAGGATTCGGTAGAAATGTTTTAAAATGATAAGAGTAAAATTATCTTTTCATACGATTAAAGATATGAAATTTTTTTTAAATGACCATCCTAACTTCGTCGATCACAATCCTCTGCCCAACCCCTAATCATGTCGTCAACCTTCTCGATCAAACCCATCTAATGATGAAGGCATAATGGCCCCTTCTATACCTTACTCGTCTAGTGACAAAGCGATCCTCATTGCCCTTACATAGGTAAAGGTGTTGCATAGCATATTCACAAACAGTAATAGCCCACATCACCCTCACGTGAGCAAAGGGAGTAAGTGACTGCATCACGTGAGTAAGAGCATAGATGCCACTATACAATACTTTCGCGACCAATGATGACAATGAAGGGTTGAGGATCCAACGACAATCAGAACCTTACCCTCCTCTCGTCGACAAACTATGGGTGAGAAGGAAGAGTGTAGCTTACTCTCACGATCAATGACAACAATAAAGGTTGGAAGGAGGGTGAGACGAGGATATTTCTAGGATTAGCGCAACTAGAGGAGCAAATAGGATTTGGTAGAAATTTTTTAAAATGATAATAGTAAAATTATCTTTTCAGATTAAAGATGTAACACCCCTTATTAGTCCCATATCGAAAGTGGTCAATATTAAGATTGACTTATAAATGTCTGATGAGTGTATTATTATCAACTTCACATATACTCATAAGGGAGTGTATAATGTCAAGCTAATTGAGTTGGACAATGTGTCTGATTGACGCAGTGTGAAAAATTCTAAAACTTTGATTTTTTTTTGTTAAGAATTCACTCGTACTTATGTTGATTTTAAAAAATATATGTATTATTTATTTATTTATTTTAAATATTTATTTGCGTTATGGGCGTGCAGAGCCGCCGGTTGGCTCCACTCTTCCCTCTCACGAGCTCTGCGCGCTTCGCTTACTTCTTGAAGCGTGATGTCAGTAGCGGGCGTCTCTTTCTCTTCTCTCTCTCACACGCGGGCGAGGAGAGGCTGCGGCCTGCTGCTGCCGTTAGACGACTACCTGCAGCGGGCGAGGCTGCAACGGCGGAGGAAGAAGGCTGTCATTTATTTATTATCAGTACCTACGGAAGAACGCGTCCAAGACTTTTTTCCTCGTTGACCTCCGCGGTCTGCGTGTTTGAATCGTCAACGTCTCCCTCGGATAACGAAACGCCGAAGGATTCTCTCGGAGAAGAAGGAACAGTGGAGAGGAGGACGAGACACGGCACGCCTGCAAGGGAGCAGGTGGTGTGCGTCAGGCGCCATGTGCGTTCTCTCCGCAGAGAAGGTGGCAGTGGCAGCTCCGGGCGCTGTCTCCCCACCGAGCGTACGGTGGTCGGGCAGACTATGTTGGTGAAGGAATAGGCATCGCAGGTGCATAGTGGCAGTTGTGTGTCTTCTCCCGTGACTCGGCCATCCGACGAGGGGGAGTGTACTGAGTAAATCCCGTAATGACCATTGTAGAAGTGCTCGAATAGTTAGTCGGGTATTCCCTCGGCTCCATACTTTTCCTAATGAAAGCAGAGTCTCAATTCATCAAACAGATGTTGGATATTGGAATCGAAGAGATCAAACGCCATTATTAACAGCTCTTCTTGTCCTTCAAGAACAAAAGGAGTCAAACTCGATCTCATACAGTAAGAATCGCAGATCCAAATAGTTTATCTTTGGACTTCTTTACGAGCCTCTGCTTCGAGGTGGCCTCCTTGGAAGATGTAATCACATCTGAACATGTTCAATGAAAAGATCTGTATCGAATGGATGATGACATAGCAGATATGACAGCAAATAGTTTACACACACGCAGACTTCTTTTATAAAGATGGAGCAGAGGAAATCACATGCAGGTTTTGGTGCACACAGGATGATGATGCATCACTCCAATGGATTCGCATAAACAAGTGAAGGTTGGGATGGGTAAGAACAGAATAGGGAGGAGAACCTTGAGGTACCTGCAAGTGACTGCCATGAGGAACGCAACGATGTCGACATACCTACCGCAATTGTTTTGGTCGTAACTCAACCGCGTCAGTATCCGTGACGAAGAATATTTATCTCTTTTGTAAAAATGAATTGTTTAATAACATAAAAAGCCACCAACTTTTTAATAGATTATGCTTTTGTATCATTGTATCCGCTAATTTTTTTCTTTTTTTTGTTAAAAATGTTAGTCCAATCATAAATTGGGTATAAGAAATATCACAACCAAGGTAAGGAATAACATAATGATAGAGATTACAACGTCAATTTATATTCATCGAAAACATGACCATCACATGATATCTGAGGTGGAAGGAGAGGACAGATGTCATCGTTCACCCGTTTACTCACGTAGGCAATGTAAGTGATTATAGGTTGTCCCTCCTAATCGCTCATATGGACAAGAAGCCAAGAGAAGATTGTTGTAGGTAGTTAAATATTGTCTTCTCATAGAATATTTCATGAAATATTTTATCATTTTACAACTATATATAAAGCTTGTCATCAACAAAATGAAGAAGGAAGTTACCATTTTTTATCACTTTCGTTCACACTCATATACCTTGAATTACTAACTTGAGTGCCTGAAAGATATGATCGAAAAATCTCTTTTAACCTCGATCTTTATATAGGTGATACCTCGGGAGCTCGGTGTTTTCATCTTAGATATACCTCAAATAACCTTACATATATGAGTTTGGATCACGTCGGACTGAGCAAAACGACAACAACTTCCTTCCCTATCAACAATTATACTTCTTTTTTTTCTCATCCTTTGCTCTCTTAAAGAACACTCTCTTCTAACGCTAAAATATTATATTATCTGTCATGCCAATAGAACCGGTTATGAGCCAAACGTGGTGCGCATTTCTTGTCAAATTTATGTTCATGCCATGAGCTACCATTTTGTACGAAAGATATTGTCCCTCTTGTAAGACGGCACTTTCATAGCTAGCCGGTGTCATTATCCCATCGCAAATCATCTTATTGTTACATATAGTAACCTATAAACGATACATGGAGTCTCTCTTCAACTATGTGTTATAAAGACTATCCCATATGATATTGATAGGAGATCAACATTCACCTATTTCAACTCAAATATTAAACTTTTCTACCACATTCTCTCAAATTATATAAAAATATCTTCATGAGGATTGTTGGAGAAACCTTCACACAAAGAAGCAACAACGCATGGTTGACATCACGATAAATCAAGAGACATGAACCTAATAAGCTTTGCTCGAATCAGCCATCTATGTCTATCGATCTAGAAATATATCTCAAAGCAACGAAGAAAATTTCGAGGTGAATTCAAGATAAAAATGTCGAGCTCTCGATGTGTCATTTACATGAAAATAAAAAATAAAAGAGGTTTCTCGACTTAATCATTTAGATGCTCAAATTAATAACCCGAGGTATATGTGTGCAGACACAAGTGGTTAAAAAGATGATTTTTTTTATTATGTTTAAGATGAGTTTTTATATCTGATCATAAATAGGTAAAATAAAATATTTTATAGGGAGGGAGCCTTTAACCACCTCCAATAGTCATTCCTTGACCTCTTACCTATGTAGGTGATAAAGGAAGGAACAACCCATAGTCATCTGCCTTAGACCCTTGCCCACGTGGGTAGACGAGTGGAGGGTAGCTTCTATTATTTTTTAAACCATAAATACCATATGATAGTTTGGATGATGATTGACCGACGATATTTTTTTTTTATTAATATATTATTTTTTTCCTATATTTTTCTCAAATCATATATATTTTTAATCTTAGTACTAGTTTTTTACTCCAAAAGCATGTATCAATTGCATGAAATTAATCACCCAGAGGCATTATGTAAACATTGTACTGACAGCATGTTTCATGGGGCAAACTTTCCCTAAGTTGTCGTCGGCAGAGTAAGCTTCTAATGGGTGCGTCCCATTACGGCTGTACAAGGAGAAGATCCAAGAAGAAGGAACTATAAAATATCTTGCATGTTCACATGCACATTCCAACTACATGAGAGTTTTGGCATGACGACTCAACTTGGAGTTTGGCATGAGGAGATCTACATATTTTGCATGATGACTCAACCTGGAGTTCGCCGGATGAAGAATTTGACTGAGATACATTGAGAGAGAGAGAGAGAGAGAGAGAGAGAGAGAGAGAGAGAGAGAGGAAAACTATATAATATATAAATTTTTTTTTAGTTTAAAATTTTAAAGATTCATGAGTCATCATTTATCCTCATTGGCATAGGCATACGAACCACAAGGAATTATTATTTTTGGATAGTTCTCATACGATTTTATTCCTTGCATGTCTTGTAAACTCACTATACAAAATTGATTGCAATCCTCATAACCCAATTTGAGATATTTTGATAGCATGATATTTTATACGATGTGTCATTGAATGCCACCGAAAATTTATGGTGTGGTAATATATCATCTTGATGGAACATCTCAATAATCACGAGTTTCAATTAATGATAAATTGACCTTATGAAGTTCTAATTGGAACTCAAAATTTTACTAATAACACGTTCGGAGAACTCTAATAATTAATTTTGATCATATTTATCATAATATTTTCTCTACTTAGCTCCCTCATAGACATGTTTTGATATAAAGCTCATCGTCTCCCCGAGGTGTTGTATATAATGCTCTCATTCCAAAATATTCATATATTCTTTTCTAACTCTGCATTGAAATATTCTAATCTTTATTAGATGAAATATCAGTGATCCTAATCTTCATTTCAGGATTTCAACGAGTAAGAACGTTCCGCGTCAGAAATCTTCCTCCGAATGGGTTGAAATATAATCCCATGGAAATGATATCGTCGTCGAAAGGTGTGAAGCGCACAATTCCATGATATATGTGATGTGATGTGAATGAACATTAAAACGTTGATGTGATGTGAACCCACCCATCCTATTGGGACTTGACGTGAACCCACCTCTCGCAATTTGCATCCCTTCGATCGAGACTTTGACGTCGACCCACACGAGACTAATTTTCCATCTTCATTTTTTATCGTTTTCCACATCATTTTTGGGTCTTTTAATTTTGCTTTCCATCCTCCGTTTTGTTGGTGAAGCTTCCTTTCCTTTTTGACTTTCAATACGTGAGAGGAAGAAGTCTTCGAATTAAAAGAAAATTTGATTAAGATGACGTGATGACATCTTTAGATCAATCCTATTCGGAAAGAATATTTGCTCGAAGGATTATCTATTTTTAACGAAATCGTTCGAATTAGTCATAACATAAAAAATAAAAATTTTGCATTAATTATAGCCTTATGAGCTTTTTATAATGATTTAATAAAAAAATATATATTTTAAGATATAAATAAAATATTATTCATATAGCTGAAATTTTTTATAGAAAATTATATACATTAATAAATTAAAATAAATTAAAAATTCATAAAATTCAACGTTCTCAATTACTCAAAAGTGTTTTCATCCCTTTGTAGTTTCTCTCTTCAAGCCTTTAATATGCACAGCTGATCGATAGCAATGGGTTGATGATAGCACAAATCCTACGTAGGCAAAGGAACGGAATCATACAAACCTCTCCGATCACGAAACGCGAGGTTCCATGAAACGGAGAAGAAAGCGATGCTTTACCGTTCCCAGTTTGGAATATGATATAGGGAAGGTTGACTGACCTCTGTAGCCTCGATGAGTCTGAAGTCTAAGGATGGGACTGGACGTTCCAAGCGTGAAGCGTCCGCTAAGTTTCCAGGTCATTTCTTGTACGGTCAACGCTGTAATGGCGGCCTCCACTTGCGCTCGGTGCATCGGGCAGCTCTCCACTGCGAGATTCGCTTTCCATATAAAGCCCTGCACTGGCTGGCCGTGGTGCGTGGAAGAGATGGACACCGCGATGAAGCGTCTCTGCCTCCTCGCGTTGCTGGCGGTGGCGGGCATCGCGGGGATGGAGAGGGCCGACGGCGCGGGGGAGTGCGGCCGGGTGCCCGTGGATAGGGTGGCGTTCCAGGTGGTGACTCCGTGCGGGGCGGCGACAAGGGACGCCAAGGTGGTGGTGCCGGGGAGGTGCTGCGCGGCGGTGCAGAGATTCGGCCGTAACCCCATCTGCCTCTGCGCTATCATGCTGTCGACCACGTCGAAGAATGCCGGCGTCAAGCCCGAGATCGCCGTTACCATCCCCAAGCGCTGCAACCTCGCGGACAGGCCGGTGGGCTACAAATGTGGAGGTCAGTCGGTGGAGAGATAGAGAGAGAGAGTGTATCCTTCTTCGGTCTGGTCTATTGGTGCAGCTCTGCTAACGATTTGGTATGGGAATTTGCTGCAGATTACACGTTGCCGTGACGAGGGGAGAGGTGGAGAGAGAGAGCTTGGCGATCCCAAGGAGTGGAATTCGAACTGCAAGCTGGTGTGATTTGTAGCTCGTGAGCGCTTGTTGATGAATCATATGAAATGCAATAAGATGTCGACTCTGTTCAATGAACTCTCATAGTAAACTACAATAGCTGGAATTGGGAGTGAAAACAGTCTTAGGAGTATTCGATTTTAGTTTACTTTCGATGTGAGAGACTCAATTAGGGTGTTAACAGTCTCTGTGATCGATGTGAGCCACCCACACCATGTCGGCAATCGAGCATGCCACACGCGCAATACTGGAGCAGAGAGATTGGGCATGTGTTGTGTGGAGAGAACTGCATCCCATTCGTGGCCACCGTCGTAGGTGCCACCTCTCTCTGGTCTTTGCATGCGTTACAGCTATCGGTCTGCAGCGACAAGTCCATAGGATAGAGACGAAGGCGTGGCTTACTTCGTTTTATGCGTCAGCTGTCTTCCTCGGAGTGCAGCTGTAGCGGAGGTTTTAGTAGCACGAGCTGCTGTAACGACACCATCACGTTGAGAGGGGGGAGGACAGGCAAGATGAGGAGGAAGGTCGATATAAGAGAAGCTTTATGCTTCTGCTTATTAGCAGCACTGGTAGGAGTTCTATGGGAAACCACCCTGTCCCTTGGTAGTAGTAGTGCAGAGGAAGCCCACGACGCCACACCACAATTACCTCTGCCGCAGCAGTGGAGCCACCGGCCACTGCCCCATGAAAGACGACCACCACCTTATCGAGAGCCACAAGTCTCACCGAAGAAAGCGCCGCCTCGTTATAAATACCCTCCTCGACCATACGGGCAGCTACCTCCTCCGCCTCGTCGTGGATATGCGCCGCCCACTCATCACAAACCACAGCCACCACAATACGGCCAACCACCACCACCCTCTCACGCGAAACCAACTCATGAAGAAGAACCACATCATCACTGGCACCACCCGCATTGCCGCAACAGACGACCTCCTCATCATGGTTGCCCACCGCCAGAACCACAGACGCGCGCCTAGACCCCCTGATCATCAACCGGTTCCGTCAATGCAGATGCAACGATCACCCAAACATGGATAGCCGCCACCTAGTACCTCAGGTTTGTCGGCCACCAGTTAGCGCAGACGCCAGCACCACTGTATGCACCGGAGCTTGTAATTTGGTTCTAATCATGTATGTCACTCTGTCTTAGAAGCTCGAATATTAGGTGCCAATGGAGTGGCGAGCTTCTCTTGTAATGTTTGAGCATGTATCTTAAAGAGCCTGTCTGTAATGCTAGTTTCTTTCCTTGCAATGCTTCATAGGCTATTGCGAATCGTAAATGGTATTCCATCCAAAGGCAAAAAAGGAGATGCAATCAACACGAGAAAACGACTGAATCGATGGCAAACTGTATGTAGATGTAACACATTCGGTAAAGGACATAAAGTACTGACCGATTCTTTGATCTTAATAACCTGCTCGAGCTGCACGTCAAATCTGATGCATCAGAGATCAACTGGCTCTGTTCTGCCGCTCCACGCCGGCCGCCTCAAGAATGCCAGTTACGTACTCGGTCTCCTCCGCCACCTCCTTCATGGACCGCCGGTTCTGCCTCCTCTCCTCGAGGCATTCGATCGCCAGATATCCCGCAGCCTTCATGGTGTCCAGCTCCACCTGGCTCGCTGCCTCCTTGAGCGCCCCGTCCTGCGCTGCACGTGGACCGACAGGTTCATGTCGTCGGGGCCCCGGTTGAAGTCGATGGCCTTCTGGGAGGTGAGCAGCGCCACCCCGTAGCTGTAGACGTCGCTCTTGTCCGTCAGCTGGTAGTTGCGGTAGTACTCCGGGTCGAGGTAGCTGCCCTGGGCGCAGGTTGGGACGTGGCCGAGTCCCGGCTCGGCGAGACAGGAGAGGCCGAAGTCGGAGACCTTGGCGTTGAGCTTCTCGTCGAGCAGCATGTTGCTGGACTTGACATCGCGGTGGTAGACGGGCGGCACGGCGCAGGAGTGGAGGTAGGCCAGGCCCTCGGCGGCCTGGTGGGCGATGGCGAGGCGGCAGCGCCAGGAGAGGAGCGGGCGGCAGCCGTGAACGAGCGTTACCTGCAATCAAAGGCGCCTGGTGGGATTTGTTGCTTGAGACCGTAACATCTACGTACGAACGCAGAACACAAGGGGTTTAGCGAGCATCTAAATAACCAGTGAAGCATTGGCAGAGGAAACCAGAGTAACTATATACTCACTGTTGACGCAGACGCCGCAAAACGGGTCCCAGCGCAGCCCATCGACGCAGAAGCATCGTCGGATCTCCCGGCTTGAGGCGGGATCCGACCTACACGTCCACCACCGCGCTACCGGCGTGCCCCCCGCGTCCAGGTTCACGAAGCTCCGGTAGGCGCTGCATCGAACGGAGTAGGAGGTGGAGGAGCCGCCCGCGACGAAAGGGCAGCAGATGGGCGTAGACGTGGCAGAGGCAGTTGGTGGAGCACTTGAGCGGGGAGAGGAGGATGCGGGAGGTGCAGTTGAGGAACATGATGGTGTTTGCTGCTGGTGACTTCCTACCGGGCCCGGCCCAATCTGGTTACAAACACGTGGCAATTCCCTACCGGGCCCGGCTAGGGAATTGCCACGTGTGTTGCTCCATGACGAATGTGCCAACCTCAAAACCAGATTAATGTTAGAAAGAAAAAAAAAATCAACAGAATTGGGAAAGCTACATTAGTGTGGGAAATAAATCTACTACACAAAGAAGAGTAGGACTGAAACAAAACCTCTCTTGTAGCATGTTTTGTGCATCGTCAACCGACACAATGACACTTAACATAAGAGATTTCATGTAAATTGTACACATCAGGAATAAGTCAATTATAGCATTCCATCATTTTAATTATAACAAAAATAGAAGATCTACAATTTGAGGAAGTAGTGTCAATTAACATAACCAATTTTAATAGCCAGCAACGGTCTGTCACAAATGAGATCTACAACGTAGTATTCGGTTCTAGTAAAGGAGGCCTCCCAAAATTTGATGCTTTCTATGAGCTGACGTGAAAAATTTGGCAGCTTGGTTTATAAGAACTCTTGCTTGAAGCTTCCTCAAACTTCTTCATAACAGTTTCGTTCTCTTCCAAGCCAGTCTGAACGAAATATCGTACCCACCAAGATGAACTTCTTAATTTGGCCTGCCCATGAAGTGAAGTATCAGAATTGTAATAATCTTAAACTGCAATGGAACAATGACCAAATTTAGCCACTTAAACAAATTGATCTAATGTTAGAATGACTACAAACATATATTTTATGTGACAGAAGCAGAAATGTTGAACCATCACCTGACAGTTGCCTTGGACCATAAACACCTATGATTGGAAGACATGAAAATGTGATGGGTGCTACCAAGAGAAACAATCAGATATTTGTCAGGAACTTGATGCAAACTAATATGATTTTTCTAGGTGTCATAAATGTACCGGGATGCTAATGGACAATCAGTATAAATATTTGCAGGGGAAATAAATTTAAGGTTGATCAAAGAGTGAGCCTAAGTTTGATAAAATATTTTTACAGATACAAAGGTGAAATGCTAGTGGAAATGCAGGCAAATCAGGGGTTTTCTAGAATCTGCTTAAGTGGTATTGACACATGAGAAAAATGGAGCAGTCGACCGCCAACCTTTCTTTCCCAAAAATGAGATCAACCTCCCACCATGTGTATCTTTCAATTTTTCACTCAAGCTTTGCACATATCCCCTACGCATCTGCTTCTTCAATGATGGAAACATGAGTTGTAGCTTCTTCCACAAATATGCTATTTTGCAATGACTAGCTCTCTCTTGGAAAGGCCGAGGAAAGCTCTATGACCAAAATATGCATAAAATCTTCTCTTTTTCGAGGTTGTGCAGTAGAATACTTCACATGCAGTTACAACTATGTTGGTTCTCTATTGTTCTTCATTGTTGCCTCCAAGGTCTCATCCTAAAAACTAGTAGAGATGTGTATTTCCCAATCCAATCCTATATCATCATGTTAAGGAGCAAAAGGAACAGTCTCTGTGATGCTGAGAAAGTGTTGATTCGAGAAAACCAATTGGAGTTTCTCTTTAAATATAATCTATGGTGGCTACTCAACAAAACCCAATTGCAATAGCCAGAGAGTCTACAGAATTTAATACTATGGCTTGGTATTATTGGTCATCGTCGACTCTCCTGAGACTTAGATGCACATACTAAACAATAAGAGATTATACAAAATTAGAATCTATCCTTTCTCTGTAAGTTGTATGGTAGAACAATTGGCCTTCAAACAAAACCAATAGTGGGTCAAGACATGATATAGAGACAATCATTTGTATACATATTTAAACAACTATGACCAAACAAGGGCCAGCAAGTGTCATTCCTTTTAAAACTTTACTCTTCACCACCTCCAATTAATGATGCATTTCAAAGGGAAAATGGTTGATGGTAAAGAAAAGGTAAAATGAAAAGAAAAACAAATAAAATGTGAAGTTAGTACATGCATAAAGTATAGAAAGCATAAACAACCATCAGTAAGTCCAAGAAAACCACATCATGGTAATTGTAGATTCCTACAAAATGATAATGGCAACATATATATATTAACTGCAGATCATACCGGCCTTCCAAATTTTGCTAGCTCAGAAACCTTGGCCCTCTGCTGACCTGGATGACCTACAAAATTTATATGATGAAATGAGAAATATGAAGATACTTAAATACTAAAGGATCTTTCAGAGATCACACAGCTTTGTAAATAGTTTAACATTTACCTAAGCCATAAGAATCTATAAGAATTTATATAGAATTCTGACATTATATGGCTAAAATATACTAGACAAAATTTATAAACTTGTAGTAAAAAAAAATCATAAACTTGAATAAGCAAGCTTTTCCACTTGAAAACACAGAAACAAGATTTGCTATCAAACTCAAAATGAAACATATAATTACTAAATTAAAAAAGAATGAGCACCAGTATCTTCAAAGTATGCTTGCTGTCCAGTCTTTTCTTATTTTATGGCATAAGTTCATATAAATATTCCCTATCTAATGATTACTAATAAGTATGTGCAAGTCACCTTAAAAGTGTCTTAACAGTATATTTAAATGAGTGCTGCCATACA